AGAGGCCCCATATAGATGTTTATTTAAGAAAAAATATAAAATAGAAAAGAGAAACATAAATTGCCTGTTTCGCAAATAATTTTAGCCACTTATTGTTTTTCTTAACTTTCTTCGTGTTTTCTTGTATTTATATATATACATATATATATATATGATTTACTGAGATTTACTTCTAAGAAATAAAATCCTTTCACATTGTTAATAAATGTTGTACAGTTCAGAAAGGATTATGAGCTAGTTTCAGATTTTTATGGTAAGATGTGACAGTTTTTTCATAGTCAAGTACTATCCAATTAGAAACATAAGATATCTTGGAGAAATGACAGAAAACAAAAACAGCGACTTAAAGGTTAGATGCATGAGCAAACGGACTCCTGAATGTTTTTCCTTCCATAATTATACATTTTAATTACAAATAGAGTTCTTATAAAATCTCTTAAGCCGCTTTATTATAAGTATTTTGAAGCAATTTACAATAAGTATTAAATTGAAGTTGCCCGTTTATTGCAAAAAAAAAATATTTACAGTTAAAGTTATTTTAAGCTCCTTTTTTTAACGAATGCAATTAAATTTAATTTTGCACTTTGATTTTCAACAGAATTTATTATTTATTTTGTTTGATTTGTCCAACTATTAAAGTTGGACACGTTTAAATTTTCATATTTTTACAACTGCAAATTTTAGCAGCTAACTCCTTTCTTTTGTTCATATATTCATTTTTATCTTAAGAAAATTGCGATTGCTATAACAATATATTCATTTTACAAATAAACATCATGAGGAGAGAAACTTCTTTTCTCTAACATTTGTGTTTTTCTTAATAAAATGCATACTTTATTGAAATATCCTCTGTTAACATTTATATACAATGTGTTCTGTTTCAGTTTTACTTTATAGTTAAAACCTAACAAAAATGTTTAAAGTTTTGCAATTAAAATATGATGAATTACACTTAAGTATTATTTCAAGTTGAGTAAGTAAACGGGAAATGCATTTTTGCATAAATATACATATATGTTTCTCTAATTACAAGCCACTTTGACTTCTTAACGAACGAACTTAATCTTAACGAACTTAAACATTTAAGAAAATAGTTTTTTCTAAGGCAATGGTTTTATCATCTATAGAAGAAGTAGAATTCGGAAAATTTCATTTCTGGGCTCTTTCATATTTTTGTTCGGCTTAAAAATGTCACTTTTTAGACAATTTTTCTTCAAAAATTTCGTCTCCATTTATTTATTTTAAAAGCTGAATTCATTTTATTTCTTTGTATTTCGCCATTTTATCTTTACGCTTTAGTGTTTGGAAATATCTGCCCAGCTTGTTATGAAGTAAAACTTTTCAGAAAATATGTCCATCAAATCACAATTTCGATCCAGGAATTTGATTCAATCCTGTTTAAGATTCAGGTGCAATTTTTTTTATCTGTAAATGCCTGTATATTCTTATTAGTAGCTTTCCACGCGCCATTAATTTCTCAAAATGTTTGAGACAGAGCGTGATTTATATCGGCTTAAAATATGCTGGAACATATTTTTTAAATATTTTATTCAATTTTCTTTTATTACGAGCAATAAATATTTTCTTTAAAAAAATTTAGTTTTGCAATTTAATTTAGCAGACTGAGAGTTGCGGCAGCACTTTTTATAAAATGATTATAGTTAAAGTAATTCACACTCAGAATTACAGATTTTGTTGAAAAGTGGTTGATATATAGTGTGCATGGTATACATTTTCTGGACATTATTAGACACACTATAAGATTCTATGTGAAATCTTAATTATCAATATATAATATAAATTCAACGATTGAATAGATTAACCGAGTGGCCGGGTGGCGCAGTTGGTTTGTCGTCGGCCTTCTGAGCCCAAGTCTGCGGGTTCGATACCCGGCCCAGACACCAGATTTTCGGGATGCAGAAAATCCTCAGCGGCCATGTCGTATGATTATGCGGCATGTAAAAGATCCCTGGAGTGCCTTATTGGCTCTTGGCATTTCCGGCAAAATTAAATTCCTAGTGCACTTTAGCATCCAAATAGAGTCTCGGTGCTGCCATCTAGTGTGGCAGAAACTAGACGTCCAAATTAACATGACCAACGGTATCTCACCCATTGTGGTGGTCCTGAAAGAGTAGATACCACCTCTGGAGAACGCACTGGGTCTGCTCATCGGCAAGATCGATTGTGCAGCTCATTGGAAATAAAAATAAAAAAATTAAACGATATATTATATAAATATAGGATATTTATTATATCAGATATTCTATTAGTATATTATAATAACTAGACCAAATTATTCGACGCACTGTAGTGTTTTAATAATTGCATGTTTTGCGCGAGTTTATGTCCTATACTTTTATATTTAAACATACATGTAATAGGTTTTTATTCAGGAAATTTTCTATATACTTCCTATTTGTATTTATTTTTAACGTATTGCATTGCAATGTCAATGATACACGAACGTAAACAAGTGCAAAATCGTTTCTGCCGCGTAAAAACAATAAAGCTGTATAAGTAACCCCTGATAATTAAGATTTTACATAGAATCTTATTAGTTCGTCTAATAATTAGGCCAGGGTAATAGATAGAAAGTTCTGGTATAGAATAAATCGATATCTAATAAGCTACTTGAGACAGACAATCGTGGTAACTGGCAATAGGGCCGATCGTTGTTGAGCAAAAAGAAGTAGCGTGTTTGGGGCAACGCCTCTTATAACTGAAAGCCTCCACACGGTTTTTTATAGGTAGTCCAATCAGACCACTGAGAAGGATATTCACTTTCCGAACGAGTCACCTAATACAAAATCTAGACAAAGTAAGAAAGTGGTAGCAAATATATGACTAAAAATTTGTTTTATTTATGAATATTATTGGTTTGCCTTAGTCACTTGTCAACCACTACAGATTCAATTCTCAAATATATATGATGAATTTCTCTCAATTACTTTTATAAAAGGTTTTGGGTTCATGCGCACAACTGGTTCACTTTTTAAATAGTCTGTGAGGACTACTTATAAAACCGTGTGGAGGCATTTTGATGTAGGAGGTGATGGTTTGGGGCAACTAGGGGCGAACTTCCAGTTTTTTTTTCCAGTCGAAATATAAATTTCATTTTTCCCTTGTGTTATTTAATAATATACTTGTGTACTGAGAAGAAATTTCTACAAAAAATTAAAGAACGCTCGTAATATAATTTTCTCGCTACTTATATACAGTTCTGTTTGAGTTCCATGATAAACTTGCAAAAATTGAAAAAAATTAATTAAACATAAAACTGTACATTTTAAGTCTCACTGTAATTGTACTATATTATCGCAATAATTACGAGTTATAAAAATACGATTTTTGCTATGGTGTAAAGGAGAAAAAGAAATAATTTCATATTTTATCAAAATCCTATCAGTCTCAGAAATCTATCAATATCTACTTCCTAAATCATGTCCCCACTTTTTAAATCAAGTTTATAAATCGTGTCAAAGCTTCTGTAGTTTATGTCCTCAAGAATATTTTCTGTCACTGATGAACACAGATATGGTAAAAAAGGAAAGAATTTTCTTATTTTATTCTTCAGCAAAACGGGACTTGGAACGGGCTGATAGCAGAACTCTTAAATCAGAAAGCAGAAATCGTTGTAACATCAATCAAAATCAACTCGGAACGTCAGATGGCAGTGGACTTTACGGTTCCATTTTTAGAAACGGGCATAGCCATAGTTGTCGCCAAAAGGACTGGGATAATATCGCCAAAAGCTTTTTTAGGTATGTATGATGGAACTGAATATTTTTAGTCCATTGATTTCTGAAAAAGTCACCATTTTTTAAATTTATTTCTTCTTTTCGTAAGTTTGAATGCAGTTTCTTTTTTAACAAAGAACAATTTTTAATATTTTTATAAGAGCAGAATAATTATTTTTGCTACTTTATGGATATAATATTTAATTTAATAATTATTTTGTTGACAAATAAACTAGATTTTTTAAAAACTAATACATTTATGGAAATTCTGACGGTCAGAATCTAAATACTAATTTTTTTTTACTTGGTCTTATATAGATTGATTAATGTTGTAATAGAGATGAATCTCGAACCAGACATTTATTTGGATATTTTTTATATCGAAATTCGAGTAAAATTGACCTATTCAAAATTATTGTTTCTTTCTTATTGTTATAAAATTGATTATTACAAAATTCGAGAGAAATCGATTGAATATTTCCTGAAAATTTGAATTTTGAAAAGGTCGTATAATTAATATTTGATTTCTCAGGAACTATTCAACGAATTTCCCTAAAAATTTGGCTCTTGCAATGTAAAATTACGTACTTTAAAATTATGTAAAATTTTTTATACCTTACTATTCAAAATGATATCGACATTTATTAAATAATTAAAAAATAATGAATGTTTATTAAAACTCTTTTTTGCATGGAATTATATTTGGTCAAATAAAATTTATAGTTGTGGGTAAACATTTTTCAATTAGCTTTAAAAGTTCTTGAGATATCACGAAATACACAAAAAGTAAAATTAACATTAAAGGGTCCAAGCTTTGGATCGCACTCCTGAGCAAGTTATGGGGATCATATTTCTTAGTTTGCGGCTACCTCCTATATTTTGGAGGTCAGGAATCCGTTGAAAAAAATGCATGTTTACTCAGAAAAATTGCCTTTTTTGGTCTGATTTCCGAACTTAAAATATCGCAAGCACTTATTAATTACCGTTTTTGAGGTCACCCCCTCGAACCATTCCTTGAACGTGACGATATGTTCATTAGATTAAAAGATATTCAAGGTGGTTCTTTATATGGCTCATTGTACTCTTAAGGTATTTTTAAGTATTTAGTGCAAAACATATGTTTTGCACTAAATACTTAATACTTAATACTAAATACTCTGATATCAGATACGTTGGTTTAGACCCATTTCTACAGTTTAATGCAAAAAGACAGATTTTTTTGTCCTTTCTTGTGTCATATATTTTTTTCGTTGAGTATCAAAGCTTAACCCCGTCCCGTCCCCGTCAGGGGCATCCGGAGAATACTGTAGGCTCTAAGTACGCGCACGTGACCTCTCAGCAAAAGAAAAAGTGGATTCAAAAGGATTAGCTTGGAGGCGATCCATGGCCTCAAAGAATTTAGAGCAATTATTTATTCAGTAAAGTCTTTTAACATTATGTATTGGCATGTCACAATATTAACAATTTTTAAGTCTATGACTTGCGCTCTACATTCGACATATCCCTTAGCGTATAACATTTACTTTTAATTTAATTAAGCTTTTTGACACAATAATTTTAGTCTAATAAAATATTGATAAATTATAAGCTCGCAATTTCCTTCCTATATTAACACTTTTCGATGTGTTTAACACGTGTTATTCATTTAACAAAATCTTTTTGCGTTAACTTACAGCATATTGCGTTATTGATAAGTTATAAGTCCAATGCTTGCGTCATATATTCAACATGTCCCATTGTGTATAACATTTATTATTTATTTTACTAAGCTTGTTGTTACGATACAATGTTAGAAATTTCTCTACATAAACGGTTAAATCACAATTTATTTGATTGTTATTTTACCATTTTAAACCAAAACAGTCAAATAACCATAAAAAATTATAATATTCAAACTCTTAAATGTGAGAAAAAACATTTAATGATTGTTTTTTCCTGATATGGTTAAACAACCAGAATTCTATTCACCTTATTAAACCATTGTGTTCCTTGCAGTACACATATTGTAGCTGAGATGGCTAATCGGTCATTCTTATGACTGGTTAAACAGGGGTTCGAATCCCAGAATTGATACTACAATATTTCTTTCATTCCTTCAATACATGAGTAATTTCCATTATCATGCACTCTTCAATCGGAAACTTTGGACGGGTTGAATACGAAATAATCATTCGCGCATGAATAGTAGAGCACCCACAGAGCTCTAATGTCAGTTTAAGTTTCATTTCTGTGGTTTACAAATTATATTAGTTGTAAATGGTTAAAAAACCGAAAAATTTTTCTTTCACAGTTTTTTTACTGTATCAGTTGTAAACGGTTTCGAAACCATAAAGGTGAAAAAAAATTCCAATAACCAGAAACTTTATGGTTAATCGGATGAACAGACCCCTACTGGTCTTTTTACCGTAATTTCAGAATGGAATTTCAAACAGTGTAGTTTTTCTTATGAAAATATAGATAAATTGTAAGCCTATATACAGCATTAATCTATTTATATAAATTATTCTGTTGTTGTGAATAACATTTATTAATTTTTTAACAGAACCTTTTGATACAATATCATGGCTTATGATAATATTAATAAGTATACAGGGTGCAGCTTTGATGATATTTTTGTTTGAGTGGTTGAGCCCTTACGGATATGATATGAAAATGCTGCCACCGAGAGGTGAGTTGTTTCTTTATTATTTAATTTATTGTGATTCAATTATGAGTACTGTTTTAAACATTTATAAATTTTCATAAACATTACATAAAGCTTTATTTTATTAAAAAAAAAGCGTTATTCAGTATTTTACAAAGACATATTATGGTTCAGATATGAATATGATGAAATAAGCAAAGTTAGACGTTTCATGATAGAAAAGTCTATAACCAGTGCTATAGTCTATATTTCAGAAAAACTAAAAAATCTTATAATCTTACATATGTGACGTAATAAAGCTACATTTCAGTATATTTTGAAATCACCATGATTAGATATACTTTCAGTTTCCTAATCAAAATTGGCATTTTGTCGGTTTTTCCCCTTCCATTAAAACCTTTCACGAAATAAGAAATAAATAAATAAAAAGTTACTTCAGCCAAGATTACGTATACATGTAACCTTAAAAAAATGTTATTCTTATGATTATCCATTCATTTAAAAATTTTGCTTTTTAAAGAGACTTAACTTTCCATTACGTTACAAGAAGAAAAAATAATTTTATACTTATTAATAATAAAAATCTAATTACACTCATTTAAAAAAAATGCGATGCATTGTGTTAAAAGCTTCAAATTTGGTTTGACAGTTAAAAATACTCGCTGTAAAAGTAGATGCTCCAATTTCGTGAAACTTTTTCGACCGTTGACGAAACCGTTTCCTGATATTATGCTTCAAGCAAGCATTTAGTCAAAATGATGAAATAACTATCGTCACTTCTATGAGGAAACGAATTTCGTCAAAATTAAGAAAAAATTATATATATATATATATATATATATATATATATTTCTATTTTTAAGCACCTCAACTTTTTTGATAATCACTTTATGATGGGTACCATATAGGTGGATCAGGACTCACTGATCAGGGCTGAAAACTTTCAACGCAATTTGATAAAATTTCGTCCATCAGTAGTTTAGTAGCTTCCATCAGTAGTTTTCTTCCATCAGCGTATGTTTTAATGCAGTATTCTCTGCCTTGTAAATTTGATTTAAAGTTATTTTCCACACCACTACATATAAATTATTCATAAGTTTATACAAAACCTAATTTGTTACTACGCATTCCTGGCGAGGTTATTAAAATATTTGTTGCATAACAAATCCAACTACGAAAAATTCTGGCGCGTGATAGTTTTAAGTGTCTACCACTCTATAAAAATTTGAAAAAAGCTAAGTAATTGGCAACCAGGACTGAAAGCGAGACGGAAAAAAGGAAAAGCTTGTAGTAAAACCAATGCAGTTTAAGACAGTTTTCGGGAGGAGTTAACTTATTCTTTTTCTTGACTATTCAACAATATCTACTTTATCTTAGCAAAAAAAAGCAGTTTTATATACATATGCAGAAATTATAAAAGATACAGATATTTTATTTTTCTCGAAAAAATGCTAGAATAAAATGTCTTTTTTACTCTGTCTAGATATATAAGGGACTTTCAGCCATAGTCAGTGGTCTGTACATTCTCCAAACCCTCACCCACACACACTTAGAACAAGCCACATGCGTATCTTGAAAATATTGAAAGTAATTCGTGAGCTTCAGTTTGCAGACACTGATAAGTAATTAAACGATGTGTCTACCAATTATTTTTAATACAATTTTGACAAAGGAATCTGAAAATGTATTGCAATGGTTCCGTGTACTTTACATCCAATAAAACACAATTTATTTTCGTTAAAAAAAATAATAATTTTAAACATGTCTAGACAATATTCTTGCTCAATATTATTGCGAATGTTTTGATTTTTACTTATTTTTCAAATCCATTTTTTTTTTCAATTTCTAATTTTTATATTTAATCCTAATGTCTTTTTATTTTGTTATATTACAATGTAACAATATATTTTGTAACCAACTGAACATTAAGATTGACTAACAAATTTAGTAATTGTTGTATGATAATGTGTGAAGATCGTTTATAAAGAAAAAAAATGCAAAAAAAAATTTTGAAACTTGTTTTTTTTTCAGTATATTTATTCATTTGTTTTTAAATTTAATAAGTATTAAGTATACTGCATGAGTTTAACTAAACCTAAATATTTTTTTAAGAATGTTTATGTGTATTTCATGGTTTAGGATTCATTAAAATGTATTTCAGTTTTGAATTTCTTTGTAAAAATAAATATTTAAAATTTACCACAACTAATTAAAAAATAAAGACTTGTTTTATTCACAGATGATCCTTTTGACAAGAGAAAACGTAAGTTCTGCATTAATCGTTGATTCTGACGAAAAATCAGCTTTTTTTTTAAGGCAGCTCGGCAAAATTATAGTGCTTTGACTATGCTTTCTTGTTTAAGGGCAATTTTATAAAATGTTTTTCACATTAAAGAAAACACACATCCAATGGTTCATTCATTCCGCCACAAACAATATAGTTTACATTTTACTAAAACATGTAAACTACAGTAAATTATTCAACATAAAATCATTTAATGTATAGCGTTGAAAATTCGATAAATGGGGTAGGTACTAAAACGATTAATATTCATTGCACCACAGAAGCAGGAAATCAGGATGTTTTGAATCATAGAGGGACAGATTTAATAAATTTATGACTAAAAAATAGTTAAGATTTAAAAAATATATATATTTTTGCTAAAAACTCATGCGGTAAGCTATTAACTTTTAATTCTACTTTTACTTGTTTTAGTGCAGAAACTTGTTTAGTTCTACTAGCAGCTCCAAATTTCACAAATAATTCGCAGTAATANTAAAAAATAGTTAAGATTTAAAAAATATATATATTTTTGCTAAAAACTCATGCGGTAAGCTATTAACTTTTAATTCTACTTTTACTTGTTTTAGTGCAAAAACTTGCTTAGTTCTACTAGCAGCCCCAAATTTCACAAATAATTCGCAGTAATAGGCTGAGATGGCTGGGCCATCTATGGAGAAGTCCTGAAAATAGCGCCATGAGAATAGTCACCTTTCAGAGCCCCGAGGGGTCACGTCCCAGAGGCAGACCCCCTACTAGATGGCTCAACGACATCGAAAATGATTTGAATATCCTAAAGATTAGAAATTGGAGGGGAGCTGCCATGGATAGGAGGCGCTGGCGTTTGTCAGCTGTTGAGGCAGCCAAGGCCTGAAAGGGGCTGTTGTTCTGAAAAAGAAGTTCAGCAACTAAATAAATTCGCTTTAAATAGTAAAGCTGCAACTAAGAGAAAAATACCCTAAAATATCGTCGTAAAAACAAAAAAGCTTAAGCGGCTCAGCCGATGTTTTGAGGAATTCAAATTTACTTTATATTTCGTTTCGATACGCTGAACCTATGAGACTTAACTTATAAATGCGGCGATGTATAAGGACACATCCCACTCCTGACAGCATTTTTAAGTCCTCCTGAGGGACAATTTCTCCCAATATTTGATCTAGGAGTTCTCTTGTCTTCTGGATTGAGTTCAAAATTACAGGGCTACGGCGTTGAACATTGGTAGTCGTAAGCAGAAAAAATTGGGTCGGCTGTTCAAAGACGGTTATATAATAAAATAAAATGCATGAAGTTTTTATACACAGAGAGAGAGAGTACACAGAAGTTTATATACACAGAAGTTTATATACACAGAAGTTTTCATACACAGAAGTTTTTATACACAGAGATTGCAAGGAAATAAAAAAAAAATAGCGTTAGATACTTAGTTCGAGAATCATTATTTTAGTAAAAAATACCATGACGGCTGTTGCGCAGCCCGCGGAAATTCAAGTATGAAAATTTGACAAGCTAAAAGGACCATTCTCTTATGAACATATCATGAGAATGTTTTTGTCCTTCAGGATGTTCAAACTCCAATTTGTTGAAAATTTCTTACAATTTTTAGTGTTTTTTTTAAATTTTACTCACTTTTTTGCTTAAAGACTTTTTTGAACATTATTATTTTATTTATCAGAAAGTTTAACTGAAAGTTTTATGTCCCTCTCTCTCTTTCTGTCTATCTATCTAAAATTGAGAAATTCGATGTTGCCAGATACAAATCTTAACATTTAGATTTACTTTTTATAAATATAAAGAACTTTATTCAAAAGAGATAAAACTGGCAGGATTAGAAATAATTCATTAATTTTTTTAAGAAAAAAGTAATATACTTTATAAGGTTATTAATTGTTTTATGTAACTTTATTCTTTCCAATTATAAACTTAGTATATTTAATTAAAAACTAAATAGGAATTTAGAAAACTCATTATTGTATTTTTATCGAAGCTGCTTTCATCATTTTTTATTCGATAAAATATAGAATATATATTTAAAAAAAACTGCTTAAAAATATTCATTTAAATTAAAACAATATATCTAAAAAATTAATTTTGCTAAGGATGAGCATTACATCTGAATATGTTTTAAAATAAGTAAATAAGAATAGTTTTTTAGCTATCTTTATGGTTTGGAGGAAATGCACTTGAATTATTTTTCGTAAATTACTTAATTTGCTCTGTAATTCAAAAGCATTGAAAAAATTAGCATATTCTTTCAGACAAAAAGCTACATTTAATTAAAAGTAATTAAATTTAGGAAAGCAATTAAGATTAGAATGTAGAGTGTACAATAAGTATTTAAGTACACACTTCAACAAAATAAATAAATTAAACTAAACCTTTGTTTTTTATATTAACATGGACAGAACTCTTATTTTCCTATTTATTTTTTTTCTTTTGCAAATTAATTTATAGCGTTATTATCTTCTATAAGTTTACATTTGATATTTATAATTAAGTAGTAAAAATAAAAACAACATTGATATAAAATTTAAGAATTTTATAATTGTTAAAGAATGAGTATTACTGATAATAAATCTAAGTGACATAATTTCTTGAATACTAAAATCACTAGTTGTATAATTTATCGCAAATCATTACCATTATAATGAGCACGGCAGTCTATTCCCACAGTATGATTGAGCTAGACCATAACATCTGAAGATCTTGTTTTTCGCTGATGCAAAGTTATAAAATTTTTACTGATACTTGTTCAGTGTAATGAAGAGAAAGAAAATACGGACAACCTTAAGTAATTTTTGATCTAATAATCGGATCATTCTAGACTCAATCTTAATGGTTTGAAGGGGAGACCTCAAATGTGCTAATTAATTTGCGCAGACGATATTTCAGGTTACTAAATCAGTCACAAAAACGCACTTTTTTATTTTATTTTATAACCGTCGTACAACAGTCGGCCCAATTTTATGGGTTTACGACTACTAATGAACTCCACATCCTTGTAATTTTGAACCCAATCCAGAAGACAAGGGAGCTCCTGGATCAAGTGTTGGGAGAAACTTGCCTTCGTGGAGGACTTTTTTGATGGAGCAAACCCGCATTTGCGTTACATGGAGAGGAAGACCACGAGAACATCCCACGGTTAGCCTGACGGCAAGGGGACTCTAACCCATGATCCATCTACCACTGTGGAAACTTCAATTCAGCACTGTGGTCGGTGGAAGCCAGTTGCGGTATTCGTATCGACTGAGATTCGAACCCGGTTTGCCTCATTGGAAGGCGAACACTCTATCCCCTGAGCCATCGCGGCTCTACAGAAACATACTTTCGATGAATAAACATACTTTTTTTCGATTGGTTCGGATTTCTGTCCCCCAAAATTAAGGTGGTTACCGCAACCTGGGAAATATGGCATGAGTTTGGCCAGGAGAGCGCTCCAAAGTTTGAACCCCTTATTGTTAATTTTACGTTTCGTGTATTTCGCTATATCTCGAGAACTTTTTAAACAAACTGTAAACTTTTTGCACACGATCATAAAATTCGTTTATCCTAAGATAAATCAAGACAAAAAAAAATATGTATTATTTTATTTTATAAAAATTTTGAACATTAAGGTATGCATTATTTTTTTTGCACCATTTTCAAAGAATGTAATTTTGCATGGCAAATTACAAAATTTGAGCAAAATCGGGAAAATAGTTTAAGAGAAATTTCAAAAATTTCAGATATTTAAAATTTTATTTCTCAGGAACTATTTGACCGATGTTTCTCAAACTTTGCATTTTGCCTTGTAAATCCATTTTCTTTAAAATGAGGTAAACATTGTGTACCTTACAATTCCAATTTTTTTTAAACCATCATTAAATAAATTAATAAAAAAAATAAATATTTACAAAAAATTCCATTTTGCATAGAGTTATTTTTGGATGAACGACTTTTATAATTGTGTTCAAAAATTTTTCATCTCTGTCAAAAAGTAGTAAGAAATAGCTCGGCTAAAAAAGCATTTAGCGCACTGTACGCAAGGGGACTTTAAGATTTTGGTACTCACATACATAAATGTCAACCTGGATAGCAACATCTAACAACATTTAAAGTAGCAGTAAAATAAAAAATACAGTTTGTACTCCCCTTCTTTAATCGACATATTTAAGTTAATAGTATATAATGGAGAATAAAATCAGTCTATGTCAAATTTATTAAATCAATAATAAAACAATACTACATAGAATTTACTATCATTCTAAATATGTTGAAAAAAAGCTTTGGAGTACACACAAGCTCACAAAGCACCACACTCTTGAAACACACTTGTTTTCAATAACAAATCTAAGTCAGGTCTCAACACTTACACACTATCTACCAATAAGTATTTGTACACGTGTGATTGAAAAGAAAAACAAACTTTAATCATAATCAATAGTTGGTAGAGCCTTCGCTAGAGGCAATTGCAGCGTGAACCCTCCGAGGCACACTTTTCACAAGTCCTTGTGTGACAGCTACTGGTATTTTCTTCCACACGGCTTGGAGAAGACATATAAGTTCTTTCACAGATTTTGGATGGGTATTACACCTCTTAATTCGGCGATCCAACTTGTCCCAGAAGTTCTCGATAGGGTTCAAGTCTGGGTTCTGGGCAATTCAGTCCATTCTATTAACCCCATTGGCCCCATACCAAGCCTTGGTGACCCTCGGAGCATGGCAGCTGGCATTGCGTCCTGGAAGCAACAAGGGTCCACCCCATAAAACTGCCACAACAGCACATAGTCATTCAAAACAGTGCAGTAGGCATCGCTTACCACGAATGGGGACCATGAATGAGGCTTACCATGAATGGGAACCAAGGGTCCAATCCATACCAGGAGGGAGTGACGTATCTCAGGACAACAGATATAGTCATTTGAATAGGTGTCCAAATACTTATTGGTAGAAAGTATATATATTAACCCTTTGGATCATGTTTATTTAAATTCTTAGCTATGAGG